CCCAAGCAGGTTAGCTTTGTGATGAGCTGGATCAGTGGGAGATGGCACTACTCTCCTAAGCATGAACAAGGCTTTGAGAAGGCCTTGTGCTGGTGTGGTCAGATGCTCAGATACCGCGGTGATGGACCCATGAGAAATCAATCTATGTTTGGTAATGGGGGGGTGGCACAGTATGAACTATATAGAGTGTGAGCGTTGTATGGGATGGGATGGGCCCTACAGGATATGGATGGGGTAAGGAATAACCACTGATTGGCCATGATAGGGGCTAGGCATGGCAATGCAATTGTCCATGGCATAGGCTGCTGTCCTGAGAAATGTGGGTCCTTGGCAAATCCATGTAAGTGCCCCCCCTCCCTCCATTGCTGCAAGGCCTGAAGTTTAGTATACACTCTCCTTCCCCCGCTTGGTGCCTCACTGACTCACGCTCTGTAGGAAAGATTCCACCACACTGAAGTGGGAGACTATGACAGGATCCCTGGGGGAAACCCTGGGACTGTGGGATCGCTGTGTCCCCTAAGATCACTAATCTGGGCTGTCTCTCACAATGCTTTGCTAGTGCCAAGCAGCAAACCCCTCCAGGCCTGGTTATCACTCAGCATAACAGCACGTGGAACCCCACACCCAGAGCTGCTCATGATCACACAGAGCCGGGCAACAGCCAGATCCGTGAAGCTCCCGGCCTGGCTTCTCAGGAATACATCATCTTGCACTGCTCAAGATAAGCAATGCAAACGTATTAATTGGTTCACCGCTTCATCAATGGAAAGTGGATATATACCAGCCTTTGTAAACCTGAGCAGATTTAGCAGGCAAACCACTGGGTAAGAGTAAACAGTAAAACGAGTTTATTGACTACAAAAGAGCTTTTAAATGGTTATAAATGATAAGCAAAAAGTGAGAGTAGTTACCAAAAGAAAATATAAGCATGTAGCCTAAACTCTCAACTTTATTTGACTGGGCTACAACTACAGGAAGTAGTTTTTCTCGCCCCACTGGATACTGCAGTCTTTAATATACAGGTTTGACCCTTAAACCTAGGCCAGTCTCCTCTGTTGTCTTCTTCTTGGGCTACATCTATACTGCAGAATTTTTGCACAAAAACTCGTGGAGCATCCACACTGCAAGCGCATTTTTGCGCAAGAAAATTTACAGTAAATCAGAAGAAGAGAGGGTGTTTTGCAGTACAGGTATTCCTCTTTCTTCGAGGAATAAGCCTTTTCGTGCAAGAGCTCTTGCACAAAAAGGTGTGTGTGGACAGGAAACAGGGATTTTTTGCTCAAAAACAGCCTATCGAAAGACGCACAGGTGCCCTGATGGCCATTCTGTTATGGCAATCAGAGCTTTCTTGTGAGAGCGCATCCATGAAGTATGGACGCTCTCTTACACGAAAGCATATCGCTTTTCCAATGCGCTTTTGCAGTGTGGACACGCTTTTGCGCAAGAAGTTTTTGCAGATCTCTTTTGCAAAAAGCTTCTTGTGCAAGAAGCCTGCAGTCTAGATGTAGCCTCAGTGTCCTTCTTGCTTGCAGCATAGGTGGGGGCAGGAGAAAGGCAAAACGTGAGTACCCTGTGTTCGATTTTACTCTCTCAGTCCCATGTGCTTGAGGAACACAAGTCCTGGCATGTCTGGTGGGCATTGCTGAGTCCCCGGGTGAGGCTGAGCAATTCCCTTGGTGTGGCCTTATGCAGATGTGTCATTGCATTGTAGCTCCCTTTCTGGACACTGGTTCTTGATGGTTGTTTGATACCCACCCAAAAGGTGGTTATTTTCCTTGCTGTTGTCTTGGGCATCTAATATCTGGCTGATTCCCCAACTTACAACATGTTTTAGTGACAACCATCCAAAACAATCTCATAATTTACAACTGCATAGAATCATAGACTATTAGAACTGGAAGGGACCTTGAGAGGTCAAGTCCAGTCCCCTGCATTCATAGCAAAACCAAGCACCATCTAGGTCATGCCTGGTAGATGTCTATCTAACCTGCTATTAAATATCTCCAGAGATGGAGATTCCACAACCTCCCCAGGTAACTTATTCCAGTGTTTAATCACCCTGGCAGTTAGGAAGTTTTTTCTAATGTCCAACCTAAACCTCCCTTGCCGCAATTTAAGCCCATTGTTTCTTGTCCTATATATTTAGAGAGTACCATTGCGGGCTTCAGCCAATCATAATCTCTCCTTTGACACCTCACATGACATACTTTGTATACAAGATCACAGTTATATACAGATGAGGACTATGGGGGTTACAGGGTGCTCCCTCAAAGTACAGCATGTCACAGAGAGTACAAGCACTGATCCAGTAGTGCAGGGCTACTCAACTTTGAAAGCCCCAGGGGCCACAATGATACCCACAGCACATGCAGAGGGCCGCAACTTAAGCGCAGTTGCAAATATATGCAAATAGCTTCTTTGATACTGACGGGCATGAACACAAAGATTAAGGCAAGACTACACAACATGCAGGCCCCATTTAAGTCAGATCTGCTGATATTAATAAAATGCAATATTTACCCGATTTCCACCCATATGACAGCACTTTTAATGAGCAATGACAGTTCAGCAATTTAACTACTAAAACACATGTTGACGCGCACGTGGCCTGGCTCAAAACCGTGCAGCTCAGTGCTCAGCCCGGTGCTGCCGCTGGAGCTCTAGCAATGAGGCAAGTAGGTAGCCCGGCGCCGTGGGCCACATGTGACCCACAAGCCACGTGTTGAATAGCCCTGAAGTAGTGCGAAGGGCGGGGGTATCCAACAGTCCAGACACCACACAGAATGGCAGTAAAAAGGCCACCAGCCTGGGATAGGAGCCCCATGAGCAAGGGCCTCCTGAAACGCCCACTTGGCAGCATTGCCAGGGGACAGAAAACAGTAGGGACTGGGCTGTCAAATTATATCACAGACCATCATGGCTTTGCCCAGCACCATCTAGCATAGACGTGAAACAGCTTGGAGCTGCATATGCCCACACTTGGGTTGCATCTGGGGACATGGCATGGGTGTGAAATGGACACACAGGTGATGGTTGAGTTTGGGCACCTGGCATGGGTGTGGAATAGACATGCAGGGCACGGGGTTGGTGCATATGGCACGGGACAGCTATGGGGAGAGCAGTGGGGGGGTGTTTGGGGTTTCTGGCACATGTGCAGCATGCACATGGCAGAGGATGGGGTGGATTTGGGCACGTGGCATGGGGCTGGCATTAGCAGAGCATGGGGTGGAATTGGGGCAGCTGGCATGAGCGTGGAATGGACATGAAGGACACAAACATGGCATGGGGCAGCCATGGGGTGGTTTTGGGTTCCTGGCACAGGAGCAGCATGGCCATGAAGGACAAGGAGGAGGGGTTGAGATCCTAGCACAGGCATGGCCATGCAGGGCAAGGGGTGGGGCTGGGCACCTGGCAGGGGTTGAGGCACATGGCCCGGGCAAGGCACGGGGCGGATTTTGGGTTCCTGGCACAGGCGCAGCGTGGCCATGCAGGGCATGGGGCGGTCCCGGGTGGGTTTGAGCCTTTGGCAGGGGCGGGCAGGCTGTGGGGGGGCTCCCCGCGTGGGACCGCTTGGGCAGAGCCCGAGCCGGGTCAA